GAAAAGCGGGGTAGCTGCCAACGCTGCAATGGACGTTCCCAGGCAATTCTGGCTGGAATCAAGGCAACACGGCGGGTCCAACCATCCATGGCAGGAACGTATATATATATATATATCCATGCTTGTATGAGACGATGAAAGCACACACACACACCTTGATGGTGTGACTATGATCGAAGGCAAATGCCGGATTCCTACATTACGTAACTAATTATATGTAACAATTTCTGTAACAATTCTTCCATGTTGCTTTCAACAATAAGATGCCATGCTGTTCGTTTGTATTGATTGTTGTTGCCTCTAGCATTGACTGGTGACTGCTTGAAATTTTCAGAGCTACATCAGATCCAGGTTTGTGCTCCTGGAGTAGATTTTCGAGAAGTTGGCAAAGCGATCACGGAATCTGCTGAGGAGGCTCCATTCCGGGATAGAGGGCGGTCAGGGGATGAGGGGCTAAGACAACCTGAAATGAGATGCAGTTGGTTAAACCTCTGAAATCCTCCAAACCTAAAATTCCATAAAATTCACACAAACTGAAAAATCATGAAACATCCACTTGCCGAGATCCACATACTCTCCACAAACATACCAACTTAGAGCAACTGGCTTTTGCATTCACAACTTCCACAGAGTTTACTTTTCAATGTTGAGCTTGTTGCTATGTTCAAAGTTACTTTGTTCATTCAAAGTCCAACCCTGGTCACTGCATTCGTGGGTCATCTACCCAAGCCTGGCAGGATGGCTACACTGTTCATCCAACCTTGGCAGGCTGTCTGGTCCCATCAGGGAACCTATACTGCAAAGTCACAGCTAGGGACATCCAGTCTTACACCTCCTTGTCGCCTGAAGATACGTCACATATGTCAATTTTTTCAATTTCATTGGTACTGTTTGCTGGACACATCACGCATGGGCCTGGGCAGAATTGAACACAGCTCACAGATTGGCAGATGCAGTTGCTGGCGTAGCCATGCGTAGCCCATGCTTCGGAGCATTTTGCAACATAACATGCGCATTCCGCATTTGGCATGTCCGTTGGGTTCTTTTGTTTGACTCTTTTGACTTCTTTTGTGCTTGTTCAGGTCATGGGATCGGTAGCTACTTTCACGGCCGGCCAGAAATTCTGCCATACGTGCGGGCTCGAGCAGCTACCAAGGTGATGAATGTTGGTGTCGAAACTTGAATTGTCCCTGCTCGACCATTTTCCTAGCCATTTCGTCTCAAAGAACATCGGCAGATTTGTTAGACCCGGTTCATGAACTGTGACCAGTACGTAGCCTAATTATGCCGAAACACGGCATGTTTCTTTCGAGAACCAGGACAAGTTTACTGTACCGCACATCCAGCAGAGTTGGATCTACATCCTGGCTCTACGGCTTTACCAGATTAAGCAACTGCCCCAGGGGTTCTCGAAGGCAGCATGCACTGGTGGCTCAGGTGAACGACGTCGAGCAAGGGGTAATGAAGCCTGGCATGACGCTGGGGATTCCAAGATGGCATCAAGCACGAGCCACCAAGTGACATTGAGTGTTTTATTCAATTCTAGCCACCAGGTCAGTTGGTGGACTCAAGCCAGGGTCCTTCAATGAATTGTTGTCCTGCCCTAGGAGCGGGAGAAGTTTCCTCAAAGACCCTTGCTGATCTTGCTGTAAGAAACGATTGTTTTATTCAATGGGTCCTTTTAACTACTGTACACCGTCCATTGTTACTTATAGTTCCTAGATGTTCCTAGCATGATGGTAAGCCTTCGGCATCTTATTGGTAAAGGGGTAATTAGGTTGGCCTCACCAGCGAGTGTGTGTGTTCAGAGTTAATCCAATGTGTTTTATGTGCAGACAACAAGAAGCTACTAGTAACAAGTGCATCGCTACTAGCAACAAGTGCATTACTACTAGTTATCAACAAACTACTAGTTACAAGGGACTTGCTCTCAAAGCGCGGTGGGGCTAAGGTTCACTGTTGAGCCGGTGCTGGTTGACAGCCCCGACCGCAGCTGTGAGGTGGATTCCGAAGACAAATGGTACTCCTGTGCATGTCGCTGCTGATCTGGAGGGTGTGCTTGGCTTGCTGTTGAAACGCAGGTTTGCTCCAACGCTTTTTGATTATGTTTGACGGGTCGTAATTCCCCTTTAACACAGCGTTTCTATTCGTGCTCCTTTCACCAGCTACTATTAACAAGAAGCTACTAGTAACAAGGGCATCGCTACTAGGAACAAGAAGCTACAGGGGGGTCCTGGCCGTACTACTAGGAGCAAGTAGCTACTAGTAACGAGAAGCTCTTAGAATGTGTGATTATGCCAATGCATACATTATCAAGGTACATCGGTGCTCCCCTCGAAGCCCCTTTTGATGTAAACCGCTCTTGCCAATAGCCGGTTGCTACTAGTAGTAAGGATTCCTAGTGATTCTGGAAATGCAGCTCACAGTCCAGCTCTTGCGCCCTTTTGAGAGCTCAGTTGGACACTTGCAAAGAAGAAGTTTAAGAGAGTGAAAGGACATCAATGGAAGGTCAACTTTCCTTCCTTTCTTCATCTCTTCGATCTCTTAGACTTATTCTGTTATTCAATTTGATGTGCTCCTCCTGCCGCGCTCACTCGAAGCTTCTCTACGCAAACGAAAAGGCTTTGACAGAATACCCACTCCTAAAAGCTTCGCAAGCCCCTTCCTTTGGGTGCGCTGACGGCGGAGTCAAAACGCTAGAAAAGGTGGTACGCGGTTCAACCTCCGGTCGAACATCACAATCCCCAGGGCCCCATCAAGATGTCTTTTGCGCTGCCAAAGTATGGTTTGGTGTGCAAGTCACCAGTTCCTACACCGAAAAAAGACATCAGCTTCTCCAATCAGTTGGATGCCATTTTGCATGTATTTCCAGGCCACCAACCAGAACAGACAGACGGGTTTTAACTCTTGGCAATCACCGCATGACATGCGCGCTATGGGTGATGCGGATGATGACGTTGGTATAGTGAATATCTACAAGGCCGACATCAAGACGTGCTTCTCAAAGGAGTGTGTGGACCATGTTGAAAACATCGTTGCAAGTCTAATGTAACATGCAGTCATCAAAAGGACTGCTTTGGTCATGTTATGAGGTGCAAGGCTACACAAGGGATGAACAATCATTTTCAGACAATAAGGCTGACCACAGTCTCCTAGCCAATCATGTGGTGCACCTGAACTTCAATATGTTCCGCAAGTTTAAAGTCGTGAAACAAGGCACCAAGGCACCTGACATGTAAATCCACAGCCTTGGCGATGCGGCAGGCAGCGGGCTTTCAAGCCTCGGATCTGCATGGCATGGGTTTTCAGCTCCGCCACCTGGACTGAATGAATGCCGCAGCAAAAGCGATAACAATCAGAGCGGAAAAACTTTTTACTTTTTATATAATGAAGAGCATAATTCACTTGATTTGTACCAGTAGGATCAGTAAGGAATCAAGAGATTCTGCTGTCAAACCCTGGAGCATTTGATTTTGTATGTTTGTGATGATCGGGCTTTGGCCTAAACAGAAGTACATTGAAGGATCGGATCCACTGCTCAGACAAGCCAATAAGCAGGAAAGAGGTAGGAATTTTGCATATTGTTGATCACCTGCAGTTTGGACGAGGATTGCAAATGATGCTGCGGTGTATTCATGCGTTTTCAATATTTCTGATTTATGTGTTTTCAAAGGACTGCTTCAATCCAGCGAATGCTAAAGGGGAAGTAGACAATACTGTATGATACAGTGACAAATTAGTTCAACCCATTCCAACTTAAAACTAAGCAGTGCTTTTGTTGAAAAAAGTGTTTTCATACCATCTCTAATTTCAGACAACTTCGCGGGCACAAGAGTGGTGGGCAGTGTGACCAATGATGCTTGAGCACTGCAAGCCAAACTGCTACCACTTTATATGTTGAAGTTAGATGAAGTTAGGAAGTGTTTCAGAGATTTCTCACAGTCTTAGACGTGTTGATGGCCGAAAAACAGTTTCACCTAGTTCTCGGGGGGGGGGGGACAAAACCCACCATCACCTTCAGATCAGGTTTGTTCCTTAATTAAGGTCCACAAACAAACTAACAACGTGGTGATGGCTGCGCGGACAAACTGCCGAGAACAGAGGTTCAAAGCGCACAGGATGAGAATGAGGACGTTGTACAAACCAGTTGCCGTTTATGCAGCGCGCACGGCCAGATTTGCGTCAAGTACATCAACGCGAGACAATGCCCTCAATGCGGTGTCAAACAGTTTCATTTGGAAATTGGTATTACAGCAGGCCCTGCCAGATGGCGAACACTGCCCACGGCTGACCCGACTGAACAAACAGCCTCGTTGATTTGCAAAGAATGCTGACACAGTGCAGGAATGTGCAGGATATATTCAGTCCAGTGGTCTTGCCATCGACCAAGTGGGAGATATGCTGTTGCGTTTGGGGTCATATCAGTTAAGAGACCTCGCGTTGCTGCCGCGAAACAAACGCCAAAGAGGTGGAGCTCCTGGAGCTGATATCTATTCGAGTGTAGCTGTCCATTTGTGGCCTTCTGCGGACATGCTATGGCATGCTTCAGATTCTGTAAGGATAAGGATCGTTCTTGGCGCCCCTTCTTGTCAACCCCCAATCCAACATGAGCAGAATTAGCAGGTTGTTCTTTCAGCAAGAGTTTTTTGCGGAGAGTCTCCAAACAATCAAAACAGAACTGGATTCAACTATGTATTCCAGTGTTTTTTTTACCTCCCAATGGATCCTTGTGGCCAACTTGCTCCCTAATCATACCTCTTCCCCGCTCCTACAGTACCTCTTCCCCACTTATTGGCCCCCCCCAAACCCAAACTGTAGTCACATTCAACGCCTTCAAGTCAGGCATTCCCATACCAGTGTCGAGGGTCCTCAGCAAAGCTGTTCGGGATCTATGTTGATTACACGTTGGCCCGTTCCATGAGTGATCATGGACGATTCATGGATTTAATACCCTCGTGCAGCAGCAAGTCCAGGATCTTTGCGAGATGCAGGCTTCGCTGCGAAAGAGGCAACGGGAAGAGGACATTATTTTGGCCACACAATCTAGCAACTGATGAGCAAGAGTTGGATAGGTATGAAAGCTGTCGTGTTGTTGATTGTACGGTGTGTTTCCAAAGTTAAAGAGATCAGAGACAAAAAGGCTTCACAAATTTGTTGCTTCTTCATAGTACACGTGTTTCAACAGAGACCAAAGCTGAGAGTAGCAGTAACCAATAATGTTGACGGATTCCGTGACTTTTGGGATGCTTTCAACTGGCACATCGAAAGAACTTCGAACTCTGCAGATTTCCCACTTGGGGGATTGCGCTGCGCTGAAACGTGCTGGATACAGCATGATGGAGCTGCACAATTTGGGCTTTGGCCGGGCACACAGTCAGAGCTATAACAAGAAGCTTTCTTCAGACGAACGGTGCAAGGATTCTGAACCACTATTAGCCTATAGAGTCACTTTGTGGCAGCATTTTTTGACAAGACTGTGAACCCACGCTATACTTTTGAGTGCGTGGAAGGTTCGTCCACAATGTTGACTTGGGGAACCCTTGAATGACCTCACTGACTGAGCCTACCATGACTTTCCTTTTTGTTGAAATTGGCTTCTTCGTCAAGGGGATCAGCGATGATCGGTTCATTCTTTTCTTCGATGCCATACCCGTCAGGGACCTGTCTACGAAAGTAAGCGGTGACAACTGACAACCCCAAGGAATGTGAGAAGACAATCAGAGCCGATTGACAGGTCCTGCAGATTTGCGCTCAGTGGGATTTGAGGCCAAGGACTGAATTGTGAGGCTGGCTGGATGGATGGATGGATGTCATGTGAACATGCGCAAGGGCTAGCGAAAAGAGAAACAGACAACGCATACACATATCGCTCCTTATGCAATACCTTGCCAATAGTCAATATCAGCCTTGTAGCGTTTTTGGATGCAAAGTTGAGATGAGGTCCATGACGAAGTCCATGACTCATCAGGTCGAATTCCGAAGAGAGATAGATAGATTATCTATAAAAGAGGTTGTTTATAGTATCTACAATGAACGCAATTATTTATACTGTTGTTTTTGTTTTTGTTACTATGGATTTGTGCAGTTAAGCAAGCTTGCACCTTTTGCCGGTGCATCATGTGCGAACTCCATGATGCGCAGGTTTACACGAGCACACATAACTGCAAGGGAATATGCCGCAAAATCAAAGAACCCCTGAAAACTCCATCAGGTTGTAGCTGGAGTTGCTGCAGGACTTATCGGCTTTGGGTCTATCTTTGCGTGAGTTGAGAGACTTGGGTTGTGTCTTGGACAGCAGTGGATTTTCTTGACCTTGGGCTCTTGGGTTGTCACGCTCTAATCTTTGCAAGGCTTTGTCCCAGGCTTTGCCAGCTATACAGATTCGTGAATTGGGTTGCGCAAAGGCGGCGTAGCAGAGATTCGAGAAGTGAATGGTGGCGTGGCGCCCTCGACGCTGAGGTGGGGATGGGGATATATATCCGGGATGTCATTAAGAGGCTCTCATGAAAATATGCGTGCAAAGTGATATGTTAGTGATATGAAATTGATTGAACTCTTGAGAAAGAACTATGTTCACACTAAATTACGGTACGTCTAAGAGTTTCTTTTGGTGTGTTCAAGTTGAGCTAAGCGTTGAGGCAGCTTGGATTCAGACGCCTGGCGGAAAGGCTTTAGATGCTCTTTGAGCCGCGCTGCCGGCTGAACGTGTTGATTCATATATTCCTAGTACTTTGCAAGAGTTGGCGAATATACAGATCATGCCCTGTTTTGCAGCAGTCTTGAAAGTAAAGGCCCACAAAGTCATATTGTTGCTTCGACCTAAAGAACTTACACTATCCGGAAGTCCAGTCAATGTGAAGTGTTAAATGTTTCAGGTTCTATCGACATCACATGCTCCATTTCTGGATCAAGACGTATAATTCGATGTTGTTCCACACATTTTTAGTGTGTGGGGTTCTTACCTCCGCATCCGCCTTCTGCTTCTCCTTCATCCTGCTCCTCCTCCTCCGCCTCCTCCCTCAGCAACACACCAACTCATCCCACAGCAACTCAACTCACTTTCAACATATCTCCCTCACCTTGATCCACTCACTTCCACTCCCGCTCACTCACTTGCGCTCTGCGGGTTGTTTTTGCGTTGCCCTGTGTTTTTGCATGTTTTTGCTCGCTCGAGTTCTGCTGACACGCATACTGCTCTAAAAAAGGGATCTAAAGGGTTCGTAAGGAAAGTCCACACTCACTCCACGCACGCACGCACGCACGCACCCACGCACGCACGGACGCACGGACGGACACACGCACGCACGCACGCACGCACGCACGCACTCACTCACTCACTCACTCACTCAATCCAAATATACGAATCGTCATCATGCGTGATATATCTTCATAATTATGTATAGCTGTATAGCTTTATAGATATACATACTGTACATTTATATACATGTATATTATATATAGTATAGTGTATAGTCTCATATCATATCCGGAGACACCCCTTGTCACTCTCCTCCTTCCGTTCCTTCCTTCCACTAGCTTCACATGTCTGGCTATCCGGCCTTGAATTTTCTCACCAAGTTGGTTCAAACACTCACGGATGCCCTTGCGCGCCACATCCAAGGCTACCAAGAGATGGCCGCAGCAGGTTTTTCAGTGTATGACCTTTGGCAGGCCAGATTTATGCAATCTCTTCACAGTGTCTGGGGAAAAGCGAATGACACCTCAGAATAAACATGTTTTTGAATTTTATACTTTATAACAGGATATAAAGAGGTAATATATGGTAATATGTTTGGCTCTAGTCCGAGAGTTGGATTAAGGGAAATCTACAGGACACCCATAGTTTTGAGGGGTTACTGTACCCTTAAACAAAACCATTGATTTAGGCATCAGGCATGAAGCCGCCATCTTCGCATGCATCAGCCGAGCATGCCACGCAACCGCTTTGGCACTGCGCGAGGCTGGGTGCCCGCTGGTTACATTGAAACTCTTTGGCTTTCGCGTTCAGCAGTTTCGAGAATCAGGCCTGCAGGGATTTCGCTTGCGACAGTGCCCATCACCGTACCTGTCATGCAATGCACTTGGCAAGTCTGACAAAGCCATTTGATGGTTGTGTGAGTTGAATCGTGGCACGGAGGATTCGATTTGATATTGATCAGAGATGCTGGATTCAGCAAAATGGACATGATCTACGCACCTTTCAACTGCACGAGGGGCAGGGCCAGTATGGGCCAGTAGCACTGTTGTAAAAATGTGGTGGTTAGAGGTAGTCACTGACGGTGAACATAGAGCTTCAGACTCTTTTCGTTGATGTTTTGCACAATTGAAGGAGTGGAGCGTCTCAACCTACATGATCAAAATTCTGGGTATTGGGCAAGAGATGTGATGGATCGATGGCCAACACGGGAACACACACTCTCACATCACCCATCAGAATAACATGTCCCGTTTGTTGTAAACACGTGTGAACCAGTGTGAGAACCGCTATCCTTCATTGATTCACTAAGGGAGGCTACTCCAAGGACGAGGTGCTTGCAGCCTTTGCCAGTTTTCAAAATCCACTGGCACAGTAGCAGAGAAACTTGCTCAAGACGAGCAGCCCGTGTTTCCGCGTGCCGAAAACCAAGGGAAGTTCAGTTTGCCTTTTGAAGTACATTTAGAAGAGGTTGAAAGCAACAGTCACAACGGACATCACTTGCAACGACTTGCACCACTTGTCGGGAAGCATGCAGAACATCATGCTTCTCTATACTCTACCCTACCCGTTTCCGGTCCATGCCTGCTATCAGTTAGTTGAGGAATCATTGTAGGAAACACACCCAGCTGGTTTCTGTCCAGCGACAAGAAGACAATGGTAAAAGGTGTCATTGTGATCAACGAGCAGAATACTGTTCCCGGGCGCGTCACGTGGCATAGACATGCGCATGATTGTGGGTCTCCCCTTCTTTTATGGATGGTCAAACTCATGCCAGGACTCTTCTCACCTCAACCAAAGCGCTGGCTGCGCAGTTTGAGCACACTTTGCTCATCACAGATGCAGGGAGAGAGGCCCGGTTGGCAAATATGATCAGATACATCGATTGTCCATTGCCCTTATACTCATCCCTTGTTGCACTAGAACAAACTGTTGAACAGATCTTGCCGTCGCTACTGTGTTTTGTCTCAGGGTGGTGGTTCCACACGGTTCCTAGAGACACAAACACGAAGGCAAGCCAGCGCCAACACTTGACAGGCTGATCAGTATTTATAGAGCTTGAGACAATCTAGATATATCTAGATGATGCAGAGTCCCAATTCCCATCTATATTATATGCCTGTGGCACGCTGCTGAACACAGTGGTCCAAGTCTCCGTTGCAACTGCACCGAAAGTTAGTGTGGCTGCTGTTCCTCCCAGACACTGCAGAACATTCTTTCGGCAGTGTAGGAGCTGTTTAAGCATGTACTAAAACGTATAAACAAGATAGTTGAGCACCAAGGGATATTCTCCGAGTACTGCAAATCTTCTGTGTGAACAGCCTTCATGTTTGTCCAAATCCAGATGATCGAGACTAGGCTTTGTTTGTTTTGCGTTTGCTACAACGTGTTTCAATCGATCAGATCCTGACTGGACCCTGCATCGACTACAAGATGATGCTGACCAAACAGGCATGTTCGCCCTGTAGATTTGCCTGGACTGCATATTAGCGCGCAGGGAGATTCTTGTCAGCATAAGCACTTGCTTGCATTGCTACGTCGTGCGCGTTTTGTGTTGCATTTATGTGAAGGTGTCATGGTTTGTTGAGACCATTGGCCCACCGATTTCCCCACCACTGTGGGTACCTAGCGCACTACTGAAACTACTGCATGCGGGGTTCAGGAATGGCGGCATTTGTTTAGTTTAGTCTTTAAGTTGTTCTTTTGCACATTTGGGCATAAGGAGTTAAAACCTTGCACGGACATGATCTTGATTGTAAAGCTATTGTGTAAACAATAGCAGTTGGGCTCATGCCTTGTGGCACCGGCAAAAAGTGGGTAGACTTGCAGTTGTTCTTGCACGGGATATTCATACTGTACCTGGTGAAGATAGCTGCTAGTTGGAAGCACAGTACAAGTATAAATGCAGTGCATGGTGCTGTGAATGCATGTTCAAGCCATGCTTGCCAAAAGCCTTCCTTACTCGTCACGCCATTGCCATAATATCGTTTTGAGTCATTTTGCAAATAGATCCATGCTTGTTCTGTACTCATTCATTCTGGCCGGGCGTCAGCGTTTTGGCTTACAAGGGCTGCGGACTTAAGCCAATTAAGCTAAATGAGACCCAATACAGTGAATCTTCAAAGAGTGGGAGAGCGGCCCGAACCACGAGGAGATAAGCTCTAAGCTTGACAGACACAGCTGATTGCACCTTTGGACACCTCTGTCTCATGGTGGCGCAATGCTTCTCGCAATCATGGCGAAACAACCCCAAAGTGGAGCTGCTTGGAGGACTGGTGGCCACTGATGGTCATCTACTCGATATACTCATTTTGAGAAGGCTAGGCAAGATTTATTGAGGTTTTGGCTTGCAGACATTGCTCCCTCCAATGAGGGGATCATCACAGTGATGTTATGCTGGCATGTTGGTCTAATAGCAGCATTCAATGCATTAAGGGACTTGAGGTTAATAGCTATATTATTATCTAGCCTTTTCTTAGTAAGGCTGGTCGTCTAGCTCAACGGAAGGAAATAGGATGAAGTAAGGTACATAGCTAGCTTCAAAAAAGAGAAGAACGGGGCGCTCTGAGAGTATATACCGTTTCCATTTGTGTGCTCATTTTGGCGGAATGTGGTTTCTTTGTTCCTGTTGCCAAGACTAAGTTCAAAAATCCAATCAAATCCTCAAATCCAAACATTTATAGCTTTAGCAACAGGTGCATCGCTAGTAGTAACAGGTGCCTTACTAGTAGTAGCAAGAAGCTATTAGAAACAAGAAGCTATTAGGAACTATATGACTTTCCGAAGTTTTGGACTTTTTGCTAGTAATTACAATTCTAATTAAATTCTTATTGTTACTAGTAGTAAGGCACTTGTTACTAGTAGCGATGCACTTGTTACTTATGACTTTCCGAAGTTTTGGACTTTTTGGATAGCACAAAGGCTTTGGCAAGGCCCTGGTGAAGGAGCTTGCTGCTATTTTATATGACTAGATGACGGCAATCTTCTACTAAACTAGATTGTAAAATAGACTTCGGGTACCCTAGATCGTGAACTGGATCTTTTGTAAACCAGATGATAAGCTAGATCTTTGATAATGTGTAGCCCTGGTAATCCAGATCTCTTCACCATCCTGATCTTTGATACCACGTTTTGACTAGGGCTTTGGTAAACCAGATGGTAAGATTGATCTGCAAACTAGGTATCTTCCCATCTGGTGAACTAGACTTCTAGGGAAACTAGATCTTAAAGTCGATTGTAGACTAGAGGCCTGGCAAACTAGGACTTCGGTAAACCAGATCCCTAGCAAGCTTGATCTCTGGCAAATCAAACCATAAATTGGGCCTTTGGTAAGCTTGACCTGACTGTTGGTACACTAGATGGTATGCCAGATCCCTGGTGAACTAGATGCTATATTAAGTCTTTGGTGAAGAAGAGCCTACTAGACTAGGTCAGATAATAAGCTAGATCTCTGGTACAATGGGAACTGATACACAAGATGGTAAGCTAAACCTATGGCAAACTAGTATCTGGTGAAGTGGGCCCTGCTCAAGTAGATCTCTCGAAGAAACGAAAACAGTGGCTTCTGATGCTGAACAAAACAGAGCCCAAACATGTACAGCCTGGGATACTGATACTTGACCAATGTGACATTGCTTGCGATACCCAGCTGTCACCCTCTCGTCCCCAACAATACGCTTTGTTGGATGTGGCACAGCTGAACATTACAGAAATGCTCCCTGCATGCTCAACCAAGTCATCCGGAGCACCCGCAGACAGCTTCCAATAACAAGAATTAACGATAGGATGCTTTCAAATGAACGCCCATTGCATTTGATATCTAAACAAATTCAAAACTGCTTGTACCTCAAGACACCTTCCGCGGTGCTTTGGCAAAGCTCAAGGAAAGAGCTATGTTGCCACAATCAACCATTCAATTGTTCTTGGCGACCCGCCTGAACCTAAACATTTGGGTGTCCACCCGAGGATCAAACCCACGTGCACCGTGTGCAGACCTCCAAGCAACTAATGGGGCTATGATTTTTTGTACTTTCGGCGAAGGAAGTACTGAGGAGCTTGAAACTCGCGAAGGCCTTGTGCGAAAGAGTCCAAGAGAAGTAAGGCCATTTTTGTAAGGGGTGCGAAAACAGAACATTACCATCGTGCAAAGAACTTTTAGACTTTCAGCTTGTGTTGTTCTTC